TTCCAACACAGATCTGTTGGTTCTTTTGGCAGCCCATGGCACTTTCAATATTCTCCTCCAACACCGTAACTCAAATGCATCAATTCTTCTACGGTCTTCCTTATTTACTGTCCAGCTTTCGCATGCATATGAGGTTATTGAAAATACCATGGCTTGGGTCTGGCGCACCTTAGCGTTCAAGCTAACATCTTTGCTCTTCAACACTTTAAAAAGGTCTTGGTGGTGGTAGTGGTTATGTGCCGTGGAGTCGGAGCCGACTCATAGTGACCCTGTACAGGGTTTCTAAGGCTGTATCTCTTTATAGGAGCAGAAAGCCTCATCTTTCTCCCACGGAACAGCTGGTAGTTTCGAACTACTGACCTTGCGGCTTGCAGCCCGATTTGTAACCCCTAGCTAAAGCTTCTTAGAACATAATTATTGCAGAACAGTTTGAAAATTCAGAAAAGCTCATGTAGGCAAATACAGATTCTCCAGACAGAGCTGCACTACCCAGGACTTGTCACTGGCCCTGTTTTAGTGTTTATCTTTGCCACACACCATATCAACTCAAAACCCACTGCTGCCCAGTTCATTTTGACTCACGGTCCTGTGTCACACTGTAGCACCGAGCTCCTCAGGGCTTTGTTGGGTGTCGTTTTTATGGAAGCAGCTAGCCAGGCCTTTCTTCCACCATGTTGCTGGGTGGTTTTGAACTGCCAGCCTTTTGGCAAGCCTTTTGCTCCACCCAGGGACCAGGGCCTTAACACACGCCCATTCTCACATAATAAGAAAACTACATCTTGGAATGTTTTTATATACGTAAACACATTCACACACACCTCCATTTTTATATACATACACATATGCTTCTATAGAGGAGTTCTGGTGTGGAGCTAGGGGTTAATGCACTGGACTGCAAAGTCGGTTTGAACTGCAAGGTTGGCGGTTCAAGCTCACCAGCTGTTCCTCGAAAACCCTATTTATACAGGGTCCCTATGGGTCGGAACTGACTTGATAACACTTAACAACAACAAACAACAACAACAAAAACCCTTCTGTATTATTATCATTAAAATATCATATTCCCTTTTCTTATTTTTTTTCTTGTGTTTATTGGTGAATGCATTTGTAAATTGCTTATTCTTATTCTTTACCTGGAGTCCTGGTGTGGTGTGGGTTAATGTGCTGGATTGCAAGGTCAGTTTGAACTGCAAGGTCGGTGGTTCAAGTTCACCAGCCACTCCTTGGAAACCCTATACAGGGTTGCTATGAGTTGGAACTGACTCCACAGCACTTAACAACAACAACACAATCCTTTATTTATTTTTTTTTAAAAGCCAAGTTTATTGAGGTATTGTTGTTGTTAAATGCTCTCGAATCAGTTATGGCTCATGGTAATCCTGTATAGGGTTTCCAAGGAGTGGCTGGTAGAATTCAACTGCTGACCTTGTGATTAGCAGTTCAGTGCTTATACTGTAGTGTCACACCAAGTATAATTTATCCAATTGTTGTTAAGCATCATCCAGTCAGTTCCAACTCATAGTGACCCTGTATAGGGTCTCCAAGGAGCTGCTGGTGAGTTTGAACTGCTGTTCAAACTGACCTGGAGATTGAGTGTTCATGCTGTAACACCACACCAGAGTCCTTGTCCTAATTCACCCTTTTTAGTTGTACGATTATATATGCATAGAGTATTTCCACTTCCCCATAAAGGTTTGTCATGTTCCTTTGTAGTCCTGTGTTCCCTTCACCAGCCGTTGGTGACCATTAGTCTGATTTGTCTCCAGTACTTTTGTCTTTTCAGAGTGCCTTGTCAATTGCCTGGCCCGGTGTTCTTTCTGCAAAGTTATACTGGGACAAAACAAAATCGATGCTCTAAAGGTTGGTGGGGACTTTGACCTTAGCAGGATGTAGTGAGCGTGAGTGAAACAGTAGCTGTGTGTGATCTTTGGTACCCACTATGACACCAGGTCATACTGTCAACTTTTTAGTCAGGCTTTTTCTAAGGACTGTCCTTAAGCCAAGAATATTGGTTACTATCTTTTTCATTGTCCCAATTTTTTGTTGTTAAGTTTATACTGTGAGCCTTAATCAGTGCCATCTCAGTAACAGTGACCTGCTTGTCCTTCACTGATAACTTACTATTATTTTTAGTTTTTCAATTACCTGGCTAGTTGTGGAAGATAATTTGGTATTGTTGGATTTTTTTTTTTTTTTTTCAAATTAATATCTGTAATGTTCTCTCTCATGGATTTCTAAATGTTGAAAATGTGTTTGTTAAGTTTTTTTTTTAAGGAAATACATGTTACTGTGTAATAGAGTGTTTTTCACTGGTTCTTACTCATTTCTTCCCACTCCAATGAAGCATCTTAGGGAATTTAAGAATTGAAGGCTGGCTTTAATGTGGGTCTTTAAGATCTCTTGCATTAACAATGAGTTGACTTCTATTCACAGCACAGAGATACTACTGAAACGTACACACACACATACACACACCGGTTACAAAAGGAATATATGGAGACATATGCTCTATATACAGACTTTAGAAAGTGGAAATTCCTTGTCTTGAAGACCACAATTTAGTTTGGTGGCTTTTTTCATCCATTAAAAAATTTTTTTTTCAATTTACAATGCATATTTTTTTAAATTTAGATATACATGGGGGCTTTAAAAAGTTAATGGAAAAATAGAATGAAAAGATACTGGAATTTTTCAGTGAACTTTCTGAAGCTCCCACATATAAGAGCTTTAGGGATTATGCCATTCAGGTATTCTAATAAACTGTTTCTTCTCAGCACTCCTCCTCACAGACAAATAGTGCTGTCTCTATTTAGTGTTTGTCAAAACCAGACGTAGTAGGTAAACTTTCCACACTATTTGGACTGTGAGACTTGGCATTCTACCTGGAGAAAATGTCCATAGTTCTCATGTTTGTTTTATGGTTTTTATTTTATCCTGTTTAAATTAATGGCACTATCTTACTATAAGTGACTTTTCAGTAGACATGAGAAGAAGGTCCAGAAGATTCGGAGTACTAATAAAGAGACAGCTACTGAACTTTCTTATAATGTGATATATAATAGGACTGTTGGGGAGGCGTTATCTTTTTTTTTTTTTCAGTAGTAATTTTAATCTTTATTGATTGTTACTTATTTCATGACTTACTAATTGGTTGTGACGGATAACTTTAAAACACTCCTTTACATGTATTTCTTGCACATATATGTACATACAGATCTGCTCATAGCCACTTAGTCAACAACTGGGGAAACTTAGTCTTATCTCCTCAAGATTTGATAAACCTTGTTTCAATGCAGCCATCAAACTCTTCTGCACAGACTGAGTATGCCATTTAGCATGTTCTCCCTCCTCCTTACAATATTCTTGCTCTTCTTCAAGGGCTATAAGGACTGGGGCATACTTTTTTTTAAGGTATTTATTGTAGATTGAGTGAAGTTTACAGGGCAGATCATCAGTTTTACTTTCAATAAATCATACACCTTGTTTCATTACAATGATAATAATCCCCTCCATGTTAACAGTATTTCTCTCTATTCACTTTAGCTTTTAAGAAAACAAAACAAAACAAAAACAGGCATATGTAATAATTTACACCTTTAAAGGGCACATTCTGCAAGTCTGCTTCTGGCCACCAGCTCTTAGTCCCTCTCTTCTTAGTGCATGAATCTAGAGTCCTCAGCCCCTCCCCCTCTCCATGCCCCCATTTCTGCCTCCATCTCTGGCATCTCTGCTTCTCTGGATAAGGTCCTGCATTCTGCTTATGCTCTTCTCCCTTGATGGTCCTAGGGTCCTCTGTTTCTGGACTGTAAGATTAACAACTCCCCTGTTTTTGACAAAACTTCTACCTTTACAATTGTAACAGTCGCAATTTGTCATGATGACAATTTTTCACTATTGAATAATACGAATCTAACTTATCCCTGTCTCTTTTCACCAGACCCATCTAGACAAGGTGAAATTATTCACTGGGGACTCTATTTTCCTCCCATACTCTTAAGTTGTACTCCCTCTTGAGACCTTGTAAGCCAGTCTAGCTATTGTCTAAGTTGCCTGTCCCTATCTACCCTGTGTTCAGAGGGGATAGCATTGATACTTGATGTGAAGACTCCTTCCCTTTCTGTTG